GGGGGGGGGGGGGAGAAACGGAATTACCGATCGTTTTGGGGTTTCACAGAGCATGTTAACTGCAAGCAGAGCTGAAAACTCAAAAATGATAGCTGATTGAAAAAAGACACTGTTAGTCAAGAAATTGTCTAAAACTTTGTAAATCTATTTAGTGCGTCACAAAGAACTACAGAGAACAAGATAACTTAGGAAAATCAAGAAAAACGATTTCATTGAATATAAAATATAACCACATAAGAAATTAATCTTATCTGTTATAGAAAAATGCTTATCCGCAAATACAAAAATGAAAGCAAAGATCAAACGATAAACTGATTCGATAGAACCTGTTTGATGTTAGCCGTTATGTTATTATAATAAATTTGAGTCTTTGTGTCTTCCATTTTTGAAAATCATATAGTACTGTAGATGTATAATAGATAACTACAAGAAGCTTAGGAGCAAATTCACTTAAAAATTTCTGAAATGAAAAACCCTTCTTTTCAAAGGTACAGTTCGAAGTTTAGCATCTTAACTATTTACTAACATCAAGATCCTGTGAGAACTTATTTTATCTGTAAAAGGAATACTATCGAACTCGTTAAGAAACCACTTATGGGTTCATCAAGAAATTGAAGCATTCGTCAAAATTTAGTTTTTTGATTTGATGTTCTCATTAATTAGCATCACCTAAAAGCTCTAAATCCAAATTTTTAGCGCATTTGGTTGATCTGATAAAAAGTTAGCCCGCATTGACTTTCGATAATTTACGAGCCCAGTTTAAAAATATCATTAAAAATTGTTGATATAAAGTTGAGTTTGCTTAGATAACAAAACATTAACGAAACCTTTTTTGTAATATATCAAAACATAAAGCTTTAAATGTTGAACAAGAATAGAATATACTATTCTATCCATTGTATAAATTCTCCATATAAAATTCTTTCTTTCTGTCGATATTTCTCTCCTTTCACATGTCTATTGCTATGTATTTAATAAGATGCCTACGTTGTATCAAACGAAAGAAAATGAACCCCGATGATTTCTCTTCAAAAATCACATATATTACCATATGATATGATGACTATCTCGTATTATTTAACCGAACTTAGCTATATAAAAACCAATAAGCGTCGATTGTTTATTTTGAATAGAGCATATGTTAATTGAAATATGTCCTACTTATATGGAAAATACTCTGGACACTTCGTAATCTACTCATACTTCCATCTTTCAGGAAAAAAACATCCATAGTATTTTTTTCATAAAAATGTTGTCTGATTGATCAACATTATGACCTGTTTCTCACCTCAAGTGGAAGCTTTTTTTTAAACCTTTCTTTAAACACTTTGTAGAGGAACGAAAACTTCACAACATATGCCAAAATAGTCAAGGCCCTCATGAAATGACTGAATGACAACTAATACATTGTAAACAGTTAACATGATTTTCTAATCAAAAATGGTTAGTCATTGGTAGTATTTGATGAATAACTCTGGATGAGTACACTGAAACATAATATGTACATAGCCAGTTTTGTTCAACATTTAAAGCTTTATCTTTTGGTATACTACAAGAAAGGTTTCGTTAATATTGTATTATCTAAAAAAACTCAACTTTATATCAACAATTTTAATGATATTTTTAAACCAGGCTCGTAAATTCTCGAAAGTCAATGCGCACTAACTATTCATCAGATCAATCAAATGCATTAAAAATTTGGATTTACAGGATTTAGATGATGTTGATTAATATGAGAATACCAAATCAAAAAACTAAATTTTGACAAGTGCTTCGATGTCTGGCGCGATTTTCAAGGATCTCGTGGACGCCCTCTTAAGAATCTCAACATTGCAGCTAGCTTCATATCAGATTCGCGCATCTATGCAAACGACACACAAACCTTGAATGATAGCTGGTAGAAGACCAACAAGCATAATCACTGATTGCAGAACATCTGTCCAAATAACAGCTTTCAAACCACCCTACGCATTAATACAGTTATGGTGTCTCTTGATGAAACATACAATAGGCATACTTACTACAGAGGAATAGAAGGTGCATATGACGCCAACTGCGATGACCGACAACCATATGTTCAGTTCAGTTGCTAAAAATCTAAGCTACACAGAGAAGAATATGTTTATTACCTTGCATACTTTGACTGAGTGCAAGAGCAGGTGTGTAGAGCACGACAGCCATGTAGACGAGCTACACAGAGAACCATCTGTGAACAAATAATTAAGTCTCATTATACCTGATATGTCATGAAGCTGATCGAAGCAAATAAGCGAACTGTCTTGTCGAAGCGCTTCTCTAAATACTGATCAGCATTTGATATGTGTAAACAATTTCTCGTGTAAATGTCTCATACTTCATAGATGCTTGTCAAGCCGAGCTCTCGAAATTTTGGCATGAATATCAGAGCCGACAATGTGCATCCGATTGTCCATGAAACACCTAAAAATGAAGTCAACGATGTTTGATTACAAGTCATAATCTATATCTATTCACTCACATCGATACAAATACATTGTTCCGGACATGTACATTTCACTGGGAACACCCAGCAAAGTGATGGCAGACAAAAAAGAAACAATTAAGCTCAACGATGTGGGTATTACACCCATAGTACCACTCGCTAAAACTCACCAAAATAAATATATTAATTGAATGGTTCTTTTCCTTACCTAAAAGAAATTCTTTGGCTGAGCTCTTCTTTGATTTGATAAAGCCAAAAATGACACCAATACCAGCCGATGAGAGTAGTAAAAACGCCAACATAACATAATCAACGACGCTCAGTGTTGCCAAAGTCATTCTTCTTCACAGCTGCAAAAACAGAATGAATCTGAAAGATAACATTTCTACTGGAAAGTACAAGAGGACACCGATTATCTTGTAAGACCTCTATAATACAAGCACACTGGCTTTTTCTCATTTGATTGTGATGACCAACAAAAAACACTTAACTTTCGAATGGTTTTTGTTGGTCCAGCCGAATGCACAAGGGTGTCTTTCGTTGACTGCTACTGCAATATCTATTCTTTTCTGAGCGATCTTTTCTCTAATTGCTAGTCTACGAATGATACATAGAGGCCATATCAAGTTATGCGTACAGATCTCAAAGGAAAAAAATATTAAAGGATAGGCCCGTAGAGACGCCCTAAATATCCTCATGTTACACAAACGATTTTTACTGTGATCGGAATAGTTCTCTGTCGTTTTTAGAGTCTATTTTGCAGACGGTTTGTTAATTCGTCACTGCCAATAGTGATTTGAATATTGTTTTCACATGTATCTCAAAGATTTTGTTAGGTTCTGATCGAAACATTCTTGCTGTGGCTTCTAGTCAGAATGACCGTTCTCGAGTTTTCTTCCTTGGAAACATATTAAGTCTGAAAACTTCAAGAGCTCTCCAAGCACAGAAATTCTAACACTTTTCTGATTTTTTTTTTGGATAATAATGACAAGTTAACCAAATATAAAAGGAATTTGAGAGGTTCTTATAACGAATATTACTACTGAATTTGACAAAAATATTTCTGGGGATGACGAGTTGAATTCAGATCTAGATTATTCGGTTGCTGAAACGGAATCCGATGACACATCCAATGATGAATATATTTCAAAAAAAAGATAATTCATCAGATTCTAACAGTGCTGATGATAATGTATATATAAGGATGCGGATGTTGTTAAAAAAAAGAGATGTTCCTCCCAATACTACATCCACCCCTACACCATGAGTGACTATATATATATGCATATTAATATATGTGAGAGCATTTACTAACTTGTAGTGTAATCAGATCTGTAGTTACTCTAAATATTATTTTAAATTCATAATGCTATTATAATCTCTTCTTAAAAGTGTCTTTTGAAGTGAAAATATTTTCACGTCAAGATCTGTGCCAGTGTATCCGCATCTGAAAAGGTCATTATGAATATCTTCGATTTATCAATGTCTAGCGAAAATTATACAGAAAAATCAGATTTCTCTTACTAATTTACATGTGGGTCCGACTAGATCCATAAATGTCTTTCGTGTGATAAAATGTAAACGCCATCCAAGGGTTAAATCATTGTTTTCGGCTATTTAGACTTTGACTTTGGTGTTTCTCATTCGATTTTTATAGTGTAGCCTAGTGGAATCGTGCGTGTTATTAAGGTGATACTGTAAGAAACTGAGGGATCCCGTAGGGAATTTAGTGAATTCCAGGAGAGGTAGAAAGTGTCCTGAAGGAAGCGTGCCAGAGTGTTTCCTTGTACGGCTGAATGCTGTATGAATCGAATGCTGAAATAATTGATTTCGAATAGATTACGATGATTTCCAGGATGTTTCTGATCGGATCTTCGTGTTGTTCCGTTTAGTTTCCCGACGTTTTCGTTACTTTCCAGCGAGATTCGAGTTGTTTTCTGTGAAATTCCTATTTCGGGAAATTGTTGAAAGCTAACGGTTTACAGTCCGAAATATTGCCTCAAAGATCCTAGTGTTTTCTTGCTAGATTCTGTGGGACGTTCAGTGTATCCTGCAGAAAAGATGTCGGAAAAGTCATCCGGTAAGGCGCGTTCCGCCGAGAACCCGAGGCCTAATTCAATGAGCTTGGAAGGATTGTATATAAGTGAGAACAATATTCGGAAAACGATTGATGAAAATGACACTGTACTGGTTACCCATGACATAAAAACCGGTGGTCAACCGCGGTTTTACCGATTCGGTTACTGGCTCCTGCCCCTAAGGTTTACCGCGATAAACCACCAGTTCTTATGAATATCGCGGTTTACCGGATCGCCAATAAACTTTGACATTTCATTGCTTTAAATCATTGATTTTGCTATTTTAAACGTTTTTATTTTTCTCTCTTTCCATGTCATACAAGCCCTCAGAAAAATCTTCGGTTTACCGCGGTTTTACCGATCTGGTTACTGGTTCCCATTACTGTAATTTACCGCTAAAAACTCTCCGGTATTTACGACATGGGTAAGAATACAATAGTAGGGATGGTCTTTTAGTATTGCTTTATAAAATAAAGATAAATAAGTCCTTTATCTTTGAAACATAAAGATAAAATAAAGGATATTATAACAAGAGACAAGATAACTGGAAGAACACTAAGGCTTAGAGATGATCGTTTTAACTTAACTTTAACTTAAGTTTAAAGTTCTTATTCAACACTTCAAAATTTATAAAAAAGGGTTTAGTGATCACCACTTAATTTCTTAATATTAACTGTAAAGTTGACACTTAATTCGTAAAATTAAGTGTTACGCAAGTGTACGGCTCAGGCTTATGAGTGTAAGCGGTTTTCTTGACTCAAATTGGAGAGATATTCTGAGTTTGAGTTTTTACACCAGGAAAAGGGTTTTCTAAAAACTAATTGTTTTTTATAAATTTTCACCAAAGATAATCGAAGTCGAGGAATCCGAAACTGTAATCGCTTTTTTAAAATTTTCAATTTGATCTGTTTGAAAAAAAAGCTTTTTTACGGAAAACATCATTTTTTTCTTGAAAAATCATACTGTAAGACAACCATTTTATTACTAAAACATCATTGTTTCTTGAAAAAAGTTTTTGGAAAAAAGTGTTTTTTTAAACAAAAACGAGATCGTTTTCTTAAAATACGATTTTTGGTAAAAAAAAAAGCCTTTTTCTGTAAAAAAAACTTTTTTTTGAAAAAGATGAAACTCAAATTTTCGAAAAGCCGATTACACATTCGGGTTCCTCGACTTCGATTATCTTTGGTGAAAATTTATAAAAAACAATTAGTTTTTAGAACACACTTTTCATGGTGTAAAAACTCAAACTCAGAATATCTCTCCAATTTGAGTCAAGAAAACCGCTTACACTCATAAGTCTGATCTGTAGACTCTTGCGTAACACTTAATTTTACGAATTAAGTGTCAACTTTACAGTTAATATTAAGAAATTAAGTGGTGATCACTAAACCCATTTTTATAAATTTTGAAGTGTTTAATAAGAACTTTAAACTTAATTTAAAGTTAAGTTAAAATGATCATCTCTAAGCCTTAGGGTTCTTCCAGTTATCTTGTCTCTTGTTATAATATCCTTTATTTTATGTTTATGTTTCAAAGATAAATGAATCCTTTATCTTTATTTATTGAGGATAATGGATCACATCTATACAGTAGAAGAAATGTACAATGAAGGTGAGAAAAGATGCTTTAGTTTCATAAATATCATCGAAGAATTATTCTAAGCCTCTTCGAACTAAAATGTCCAGTGAATGACTCATTGGGATATGGACTGAGTCTCCCTACTAGAGAATCGATTCCTATCACAATGGAAGATTAAATCCACATATAGGCGTCTCCCCACGGAAAAATTTTCGAACGAAAACCGCGGTTTCGTAAACTGCGGTAACCAACGATTTTCCGAAACCGCGAAAGTCAGACCTTTTATGCGGTTTTTAAAAACCGCCAAGAACCGCGGTAATTTCACACCACGGTTTTCATCGGTATCCAAAATCGTATAAAAGGTCTGACTTTCGCGGTTTCGAAAAACTGTTGATTACCGCGGTCTGGAAAAACCGCATAAAAGGTCTGACTTTCGCGGTTTTCTAAAACCGCTGGAAACCGCGGTTTTTTAGACCGCTATATACCGCGATTTCCGTGGCCACATCTGACTCAGGTATGGCCAGACTTATCTGAACTGATGATAAAGTTCAGATGAGCGACCCTTCAAGGGGCCTGTAGTGAACTTTTAGAAGTTCCATTACCACAAAGTTACTTTGTAGTGAGAGATAGAATAAGAAAACTTATTCAAAATTTTCATGAAAAAGCGGGGCACGACATCCTCTTCGTCTTTACACATTCCATCGCGATGATATAAGAACCAAAAATACCGCGGTTTCTCTGCTGAAAAACGCGGTAATAAATGACGCGGTTATTCGATGGCATACGGCGGTTTCTGGAACCGCTGAATACTGTGGTATTTGCCACCGCAGTTACTAATGACTATACCGCGGTTTTATGAACCATTGAATACCGTGATATTTATCACCGCGATTACTGATGGCTATACCGCGGTTTTAGAAACTCCTTAGTACCGCCTTACTTACTACCACGATTATTGATGAATGTACCGCGGTTTCCAATTACCATACCGCGACTTTTTAGACCGTTGAATAGCGCGGTATTTATTATCGCAATAAATAATGCTATATCGCAGTTTTTGAAACCGCTCAGTACCGCCCTCATTAACCATCGCGACTACTGATGACTATACAGCGGTTTTAGAAACCCCTA